GCGCAATAGGGCCCCACCCATTGAGCGTTGATGGGTGTCCGCCCCTTTTTTTATGAAACCACACCCAATACGGCATGTAATAGACACGCCCCTTTACAATGTTCATAGAGTCTGCCACCATGTGGTTGTATGAGGTACTACATCCTATGGTTGGATGTTTATTTATTTTTAATTTCATTTCATATTACTGAATAAAGAGGACAAGTCTGGACATGTTTTGGAAGATGTGTCTGGGGCCAGTTTTGAAAGTAGAGAACAAACGCAGAGGGAAAGTTTATATACATCTGAGAAATAAATAAATGCCAAAGTAACTCATATAACGATATTTATTAGACAAAAAAAAAAAGCCAATACACTATTCACAGGAAAAGCAACAATACAATAGTCACAGGCAAAAGGGGTAATACAATGTATGAAGGAAAAGCAATAATCATCACATGTTTTAGACAGAAATGCAATGAATAAACATCACAAATTCAACCAATCAGCAGGCTGCTTTAGTATACGGGGGCGCTTCTCAGGTAGCAAATAGCTGTGAGATGTAGTTAATCCCGGGGTGCTAAAAGAAATATTTGGTAACGATTGTCTCTTTTGAAAATGGGGTGTTATGTCCCGAGTCTCGCTTGGAAGGCTCCGCAATTTCAATTGTTCCAAATAGTCTCTATTTGATGTGTTGCCCACAACGGTAGACGGTACGTTCAGTTCAGCCATAGCCTGAAGAAAAGTATCCCAGCCCAGAGGTAATTTACGTACCGTAACATTGTTGTAAGAAATTGATATTCCAAACTGCAATATTGTATATAACTTTCTGTGTATGTGACTGGTTTCACAAGTGGGGGTCATTTCCTTGATAACAGTGTGATAAGGATCAAAGCTTTCAGTTGCATTTTACAACACCCAGCTAAAACAAAAGTTTACATCCCTCCAGTATTCCTTGCATGTTATCAGGAGATCAGAGTAATAGACATCTAGGTGTAACCATGCAAGTGTGTGTTTTCCCAAGCAGTCCAATCTACCAAGAAACCTAATCAACTGGTCTTTCACAATGTTACAGTATGGCTGGAGGGAAGAGATCAAAGGGAAAGACTTGTGTAAAGACAGAACTCTCTGGAGAAAGAGGGCGGGATAAACCACTTTTGGGAGGGAAAAGGGATTCTGGGACTTGTAGTTTATTACTCCAAGAATCAGTCTTTAAAAGGACAACAACCAAGGAAGGCTCTCTCTCTTTCTCTCTCTCTTTGGAGAGGACAACGCAGCAAGCAGGGCCATGGTGAACTAAGAGAGGCTGTCCCAGATTACCCAAGATGAAGGCGCAAGGGGAAGACCTGCATTTAAATGTTTAAGTATTGCCTTTTATTATGTAGCTTTTGATTATGTACCGGATATAATGTATAAGGTATATTGTGTATATCCTTTTAAAATCTAACAGTATCCTTAAATGAATATTTACAATACATTTTATTATACACTTGTGTTTATGTCTTATTTGTCACACATTCCCTAAAAGAATATCCTTGTAAGAGGGTCATAATTTCTTACAAATTGGCGAGCCAGGTAGGAGGGATTTAGTGTGATTTATAAGCATATCCATAATTGTATAGATTGTATGTTTACTTTTGGATACTGTTCAGATATTGTGTATAGATATTTCAGTGAATTGTGCGTTGTCAATGATGGAGAGTTTATTGAAAAAGATTGCTAAGGTGTCTAATCCAGAAGCAATAATTAAATGTATGGATGGTGCATTAGATCCGTGGCTTAATGCTCAGGATTATGTGGCCAGGGCAATTATTGAAAAGAAATTGTGCAAATCTCGTGGTAAAATTGCCTTGATTTATGCTGCCCGTTGGATTGCGGAGAAGTATAAATCTTTAAATAGGCAAAAAGAGAAATTAGAGGCAGACATTTTGAGTTTAAAGAATGAAGTGGAAGGTTTTAAACTGTCTGCGCAAAATGCTGCTGCTTTGTGTGTAGGTAGTCAGCAAATGCGTCTTGAAAATGAGGAATTGCACAGTTGTAATGAGCAGCTTGTAGAAAGGCTGAAGGATGCAGAGGGTGCTATTAGAATCTTTGCTTCCAGCAGCCAGAAAGAGGCTGATCATTCTGTGTGCCTTAAAGAAATTGATGATTTAAAATGTAAACTAAGAAAAAGAAATGGTTTTGCTGCTACTAAATATGGGCTGAAAACCAATTGTGGAGGTTTGTGTACAACAAAGATGGAGGTGTTTCATAATAATTATAGTAATTGTGAGTGCAGTATTCCTGCTAAAATGGCACCAGTCTCTACAGAGCACATGGTGGATGCACAGGGAAATGTACTACATGAAACTACTGTGACCCATTCCTTAAAACATACAGAGGTTATTGCACTGAGCAAAGAACTGGGATGTATACGCTTGGATGATGATCCAGTAGATGTTATGTTAAAAATTTATCAATTTGAAAAAATCCACAGAAACTTAAATGAATTGGATATTTTTGATATTATAATTGCTAGTACAGACCATTCACTAAGAGCAAGTCTGCCACATGAGATATTTATAGAACCTAGAACCAAGCAACAACTTATCAAAGAGTTATTAAACGCACTTGGTCTACAGGAAATAAATCATCATTTTGCTTTTGGTAATTGTGCTCAGAAGAGAGGGGAGTCTGTTCAAGGGTTTGTAAATAGGTTATTTGTTTTATTCAAACTGACTGTTCCACCTGGAGCACATGCTGATCAGAATGAATATGCATATAAGAAAGCATTACTTAATAGGACACTGCCAGATATTCGAGAGTTAATTGGTTTAACTGTGTCCCCACAGGACACCTTTGTAAATATACGGAATTGCTTAAAAAGGGCTGAAGCAATTTTACTAAATCAAGAAAAAGTAAATAAAAGGCAAGTGTCATTGATACAAAGTCCCCAACCTCACAGATATATCAGTCAGAGAAAGTCCCCACATATAAAATCCATTACATGTTTTAGGTGTGGTAGGATGGGACATATTGAAAAATGTTGTAAATCAGATGTGCATATTCATCATGAAAGGCCCATGTGTGATAGATGGACTCTGGGAAATAAAAATAATCACCCTAGGTGGAGATCCCAGAGAAAAGATAATAATGGTATCCCCCTCACAGGACCCTGGATTCCCTACCATGTGCTTAAAGCACAGAATAGACAACTAAAGGCAGAAAATCTTTCTCTAACATGTGAACGAAATGAATTCCTTGAAAAACTGGATTGTCTCAAGGCACAATTAAGTACATTAGAGGATATGGTTAACACAAAGAATCTGACAACAGATACATTTTTTCTTGAATGACCTATTCTAGTTGTGTGTTATTAACTTTCTCTTGAAGTTTGTTTTTTTAGAAAACTACGGAGATGATGCCAATTGAGAAGGAAGACAAATATAGACCTGTGAGAAGACCAACCATTTAACATGTTTATTTATTTCAGGAAAAATACAGTTCCAGTTTATAGAGGACCTTAATATGTAGTTTTATGATATTTTATTTCATATTAAGGATAAGCCTCTAAACTCATTCATTACAGTCAGGTGGTCCAAATTCCAAATTATTTTTGTTTTTATTAGTTTAGCACACCTGCACTTCCAGCTATGTTTTATTTTTGTATTTTGATACTGGATTACTAATTTTATATATTTCTAGATTAGATGAATTGTTACCAAGGTGAGGCTTATACGTTGATCACACTGGAGAGATGTGATAGTGTAACTGTCTGTTGGTTTACAACAGTAAATATTTTTGTTTTTGTCTTTTTTTCATTTGGTTACCGACACAAATAGCCTCAAGCTGATTTTTGATTTTAATCTTTGAAAGGCAACAGACCATTGTCAGTTTTCTTTAGATTGCACGCTGCCAAACTTTGTATACAGTTCAATGACTGAAAGTAATGGTAGCATTCAATCTACTTTTTTCTCTCTCCATCTTCTTTGATTTTGTTGTTTTCTTATGCTTTTTATTGTATTTCACACTCTAAAGGGAATATAGGGAAAACAGATAATTGCATATATTTTACATTTCCTTGGGTCAAGGTTGGGTGAACAATAGAATGATAATGGTTATTTTTTGTTTGTTTTTGTTTTAATTTATACTCTCAAGGTGGGGTATAGCGCATAGACAAATTAGACCATTTTGTATATTTTAAATTGTTTTTGAGTCAAGGTGGGGTGAGCGACAATATATGATTTTGCATTTTCTATTTGCTCTATTTGGTTTTCCACAAGGGGTTAAATATTTATGGTTTTAGTAAAGTTATAGTAAATTATTTCATACTGTTATGAGGACGTATCCCTTAGTACACATTAATATTGGTTGCATTTTGCTCACATTTGTGTTTACAATGTTTTAGATGACCACTTGTGAATCCAGACGGTAGTACTGAGACAAGGATGATAATCAAACCACTAGTGATTTGCATAATGTAACACTGCGCACTTTCTGTGCTAAGAATCTTTTAATTTCCGGAAGCCAAGGGCCTATCGAAAACTTATTAAACATCCTCAAGGGCTCAAACACAAACCCACTCCACCTATACAACTTTTAATAAACTCCCAATAAACATGCACAGACACCTTCACTCGGATCCCCACTCCAAACAATAAACTATGTTTCTCCCTTGTGTGGTCTCTTTAATACACTATGTAAGTGAACAGCAAATTAACTGCTGTTGGTGTGAAAATACACCACGTGTCATGGTGGGCAGAGGTCAGAGGCCTAATAGCCCAAAGTAAGCAAGGCCAGGGTTAAAGGAACAGTGTGGTGGAAGCAGTGCTGGTGGCACAGGTAACTGAGCGTGATGGGAGTGAAATCTAATGGTTGCAGTGATGCTGAGCCTATGAGGGTAATGAAAGGTTACGGATATGGCTGAAGGAGTTCAAATTAATGGTGAAAAATGTTAACTAAGTGCCTCAATGATTTGGCTAAATTATGCCTTGCAGTACCCTAAATTATAAATATATGTGGTTGTCAAGTCATTTGTGTCTCAGTAAAACACATAATCATTTAAAACACACGTAATTCAAATACTGTATTTCTTTGAGAGGGCTCATTTTCTTGTTGAGTCATTCGCCCTCTAGGTGGGGACTGTAAGAAATTGATATTCCAAACTGCAATATTGTATATAACTTTCTGTGTATGTGACTGGTTTCACAAGTGGGGGTCATTTCCTTGATAACAGTGTGATAAGGATCAAAGCTTTCAGTTGCATTTTACAACACCCAGCTAAAACAAAAGCTTACATCCCTCCAGTATTCCTTGCATGTTATCAGGAGATCAGAGTAATAGACATCTAGGTGTAACCATGCAAGTGTGTGTTTTCCCAAGCAGTCCAATCTACCAAGAAACCTAATCAACTGGTCTTTCACAATGTTACAGTATGGCTGGAGGGAAGAGATCAAAGGGAAAGACTTGTGTAAAGACAGAACTCTCTGGAGAAAGAGGGCGGGATAAACCACTTTTGGGAGGGAAAAGGGATTCTGGGACTTGTAGTTTATTACTCCAAGAATCAGTCTTTAAAAGGACAACAACCAAGGAAGGCTCTCTCTCTTTCTCTCTCTCTTTGGAGAGGACAACGCAGCAAGCAAGGCCATGGTGAACTAAGAGAGGCTGTCCCAGATTACCCAAGATGAAGGCGCAAGGGGAAGACCTGCATTTAAATGTTTAAGTATTGCCTTTTATTATGTAGCTTTTGATTATGTACCGGATATAATGTATAAGGTATATTGTGTATATCCTTTTAAAATCTAACAGTATCCTTAAATGAATATTTACAATACATTTTATTATACACTTGTGTTTATGTCTTATTTGTCACACATTCCCTAAAAGAATATCCTTGTAAGAGGGTCATAATTTCTTACATTGTGACTCTGGGTAACACTACGTACCAAATCGAGTATATTTGATCCCGGTACAACAGTGTTTTTATAAACAAATTCACCCTTATCATTCCAAGCGGTAATGTGCTTAAATTGAGACATTCTACTCAACAACAATTCAGCATTTTTTTTATAGCGGACATTTACATTATTAACAACTTCACGAAATACAGCGTCTGAAACATCAGAGAGTCCAGCATCATGAGGATGTGCTACAGGGGGGTTTGGTACGGAGGATTCTCCAGGAGGTAAGAAAAGTGTCAAGCCCAACTTTTCGCTTTCACTCTGTTTAGTACGTACCAAGTATTTCTGCAATATAGTGGTATACCTCTTTATCTTCTCATCATCCGATACACCTCTATTTTGAAGAATAGAAATAATCTCATTATCTAGGTTTTGAGTGACAGACTCACGAGAGGCCTCAGAGTTCTGCCACTGGTTTTATGCCTGCTGGCAAGTGCTTTATGATGAATTATTACTCACAATCCCAAATATTCGTTTTATAGAGGGTTTACCCACAACATTTAATGATGATAATTTGTTCCCCCCTAACAGAGTAAATTTAACTATTGTTGATGACTTAATGGAGGCTGCTAGTGAGAGTTCAGAAATTGAGAAAGCATTCACCAAGTATGTGCATCACAGAAATCTGAGTATTATGTATCTGGTGCAGAATGTGTTCTGTCAAGGTAAAAAAAGTCGTACTATAGCTTTAAACACTAAATATATGGTACTTTTTAAGAACCCAAGAGATAAACTGCAAATCACTACTCTGGCACGCCAAATGTACCCCGGTAAATCACAATTTTTTCTAGACGCTTTTGAAGATGCCACACGCAAATCTTATGGTTATCTACTTGTAGATTTAAGATCTGCAACCCTCGAAGAGTACCGCTTAAGAACCGGTCTCTTCCCACCCGACCTTCCCTCTGCATATATTTATAACAAACCGCCCTCTAAAAGTCGATAACATACCATTAACAGGTCATTCCCTGCCGAATCTCAGATCCTGTAAGGATGTCTATGCGTATACGTCGCAATTGGTTGGCTTTACAAAGTCTAATAAGTGCATCGCCATCACAGAAAAAAGATATTTTATGCTCTGCATCTCATGATTTAGTCACGGCTATATGTGAAATAGCTCTTAATACCCTTAAAGGTAAGATACCTTTATCACAACAACAAGTAGAAAAGCTAAAAAAGTGGCGAAAAAATATAAAAGCACTGAGCAACAAAAAAGTGTCTTTTAGTAAGAAGAAACAGTTGGTTAAACAGTCTGGAGGATTTATTGGCTCTCTGTTGGGATTTGCTATACCTCTGCTGACCGGTCTTTTGACTAACCGTTAATGGCACACGCTGAGAAAATGTACTTAGTGTCTAAACAAGAGTTAGACCTAATACAGCGAACCACTCAGAACTCTGAGGCCTCTCGTGAGTCTGTCACTCAAAACCTAGATAATGAGATTATTTCGATTCTTCAAAATAGAGGTGTATCGGATGATGAGAAGATAAAGAGGTATACCACTATATTGCAGAAATACTTGGTACGTACAAAACAGAGTGAAAGCGAAAAGTTGGGCTTGACACTTTTCTTACCTCCTGGAGAATCCTCCGTACCAAACCCCCCTGTAGCACATCCTCATGATGCTGGAGTCTCTGATGTTTCAGACGCTGTATTTCGTGAAGTTGTTAATAATGTAAATGTCCGCTATAAAAAAAAATGCTGAATTGTTGTTGAGTAGAATGTCTCAATTTAAGCACATTACCGCTTGGAATGATAAGGGTGAATTTGTTTATAAAAACACTGTTGTACCGGGATCAAATATACTCGATTTGGTACGTAGTGTTACCCAGAGTCACAATGTTACGGTACGTAAATTACCTCTGGGCTGGGATACTTTTCTTCAGGCTATGGCTGACCTGAACGTACCGTCTACCGTTGTGGGCAACACATCAAATAGAGACTATTTGGAACAATTGAAATTGCGGAGCCTTCCAAGCGAGACTCGGGACATAACACCCCATTTTCAAAAGAGACAATCGTTACCAAATATTTCTTTTAGCACCCCGGGATTAACTACATCTCACGGCTATTTGCTACCTGAGAAGCGCCCCCGTATACTAAAGCAGCCTGCTGATTGGTTGAATTTGTGATGTTTATTCATTGCATTTCTGTCTAAAACATGTGATGATTATTGCTTTTCCTTCATACATTGTATTACCCCTTTTGCCTGTGACTATTGTATTGTTGCTTTTCCTGTGAAGTGTATTGGCTTTTTTTTTTTTTGTCTAATAAATATCGTTATATGAGTTACTTTGGCATTTATTTATTTCTCAGATGTATATAAACTTTCCCTCTGGGTTTGTTCTCTACTTTCAAAACTGGCCCCAGACACATCTTCCAAAACATGTCCAGACTTGTCCTCTTTATTCAGTAATATGAAATGAAATTAAAAATAAATAAACATCCAACCATAGGATGTAGTACCTCATACAACCACATGGTGGCAGACTCTATGAACATTGTAAAGGGGCGTGTCTATTACATGCGTATTGGGTGTGGTTTCAGAAAAAAAGGGGCGGACACCCATCAACGCTCAATGGGTGGGGCCCTATTGCGCAAAGGGCGTGGTTTCATGAAAGGGCTGGGCAACCATCACCACACAGGGGGCGGAGACCTATTGTGCAACAGGCGTGGTTTCATAAAAAGGGGCGGGGCGTCTGTCATATTGCGCAAGGGGCGTGGTTTCATAAAAGGGGTGTGGTTTCATAAAAAGGGGGCGGGGCACCTGTCAAAAGTTAGTTTGATGACTTGTACCGCTTTACACTACTCAAATATATGGCACAGGAGTAGACCCAGGGACCATAATATATGTAGGACTTGAAACTGAGACGATAGCAACTCAAACTCATCAGGTTTTTCATTCCTTCTATGAAGACATGAGGGTTGAAGATAAAATTCCCCATAATGTTAAGAACATATTTATTGATTTGGCTGAGAGTATTGTGGGTAGTCTTAATGCAACTAATTGCTTTGTATGTGGAGGTACTAATATGGGAGATCAGTGGCCATGGGAGGCAAAGGAAGTATGGTACCCTGGTTCTGAGACAGATGAACAACAAAGCCTATAATGTCGATACTAAAGATACTACTTGGTGGTCAGCTTCAAATGTCTCAGAGCCTACTAATCCGTTTGCCAATTACACCCATTTAAAAGAGATATGGTTTGACTTATCTGCTACATCCAATTGGAAAGCCCCAGTGAATTTATATTGGATCTGTGGTAAGACAGCATATTCAGAGTTACCACAAGATTGGGAAGGGGCATGTGTATTAGGTATGCTCAAACCATCCTTCTTCTTGTTGCCAATTGAGACAGGAGAGACCTTGGGAGTTAAAGTTTATGATGTAAATGATAAAAAGAAGCGAGCATCCTTGAATATAGGTAGCTGGGAAGATGATGAGTGGCCTCCCCAACGCATTATTCATTATTATGGACCTGCTAGTTGGGCAGAAGATGGTACCTATGGATATAGAACCCCAATATATATGCTCAACCGTATTATAAGACTACAGGCGGTGGTTGAGATTATCACTAATGAGACAGCTCAAGCACTTAATCTTCTAGCTAAGCAAAATACTCGGATGAGATCAGCCATCTATCAAAATAGATTAGCTCTGGACTACCTATTAGCAGTAGAGGGAGGTGTATGCCCATGTAGTTTAATCTCAGAAACTGTTGTTTGCACATAGATGATGAAGGGCGGACAGTGGCTGAATTTACAAGCCACATGGTTAAACTAACGCATGTACCTACTCAGGTATGGAATGGGTATAATCCTAATAGTTGGTTTGGAAGTTGGTATGAGCAGCTTGGAGGGATTAAGGCGTTAGTAGGAGGAGTAGTATTTATTATAATCTTATGTCTCTTTCTGCTCTGCCTAATTCCATTAGTGGTCAGGTCTATACGTAGTATATTAGAGAGTACTAATGAAAGAAAGACAGCTGCTCATGTAATGGCTGTCTATAGATATGAATCCCTAGCCCAAAGAGAACATATTCAGGATGAGGAATGCTGAAGGAGTCTGTGATGATGCTAAGATGCTTACAAGGTCTGTTCTGGTACAATGGCTACTTGAGACGTGTTGGTAAACTATGATTGGTGATGCATCTGGAATAATTTTGTATCAGAGGCATCAAAGGGGGGAATGTGATGGAATTTCGGTGAAATGTAAATTTAGTAGGCCGAGATTTCCACGTGGCATATGTGTATGTTGTATCAGTTAGTTAGTTACATGTAGCTAAGATACTGTCATCAATGTACTGAGCATGTGCAGGAATGCAGAAACTGAAATCACACTCCTTTCTCCTTTTTTTCGGATGAGCCATGTGGTCTGCCCATATGAGGAAATCCAAATCCTGTCCACTGATTGGTTAAGGGTATGTGGAGCTATTAATGGGAGGTGTTATAGTTCTATAAAAAGCATGTACTCCACGTAGACTTGTTTTGGAACGTTCCTTCATCTGAGGCCCGATCGGTATGTTAATAAAGACCTCTTACTTCCTGAAAACCTGCATCCATCTCTCTGTGTCTGGCTTCTGCAAGTTTACTCGGTTACAATATTAAAAGCCATTGCCTATTCAAAGTTTAACTTTTTGTAATAAATTTTAAAAAGAGTACACAGTCTTCACACATACATCATTGTAGTAAGTGCTTTTGGGGTCTGGAGATGAAAAATGAGGAGAAATGATTATTTATTATTATTGGCATTTATTTAGCGCCTACTTATTTCGCGGCACTATACAATATTATAAAGCGGGAAGTGTAATAAATGAAACAATTACAAAAAGGAGTGTGGCCCTTTAAGAGAGCAAACGCTAGGTTTGTGAAATAAAAGTTACTCTGGGAGGCCATAAGCTTTTCTGAAAAGGTAGGTTTTGAGGGACTGGATGATTGGCGACTAAGGGAGAGTCTGATGGGTGTAGGCAGACTGTTCCAAAGGAAAGGAGCGTTACACATGCGATTAGCAGTCAGGGTGCAAGCAGCGAACAGGAGAAGGTCAAAAGCAGAGCAAAGAGAGAGAGAAGTGGCGTACCTACACATTAGTGAAGCAATGTAATGGCTAGAGTTCCTTAGAGCTTTATAGGTAAGGGTTAGTATTTGAATTGACTTCTATACATACAAGAAGCCAAAATAAGGAAAGACAGGAGAGAAAAATCAGCCTGGCAACAGCATTCATTACAACTTTAGAGAGACAGTATGGTTTCAGAGGAGACCAGGTAGGAGAGAATTACAGTAATCAATGTGAGAAATTACTAGAGCATACACAAGCTCCTTAGCAGCATCTTGCGTAAGAAATGGCCGGATATGGACAATGTTTTTTAAGGTGGAATCGGCAGGATGTGACAACAGACTAAACATGAGGTGTAAAAGTGAGGCTAGAAACAAAGATAACACAAGATAGTGATCTTGCAAGTAGGTCTGATGTGTGTACCATTGTCACGGTTCCCGGTTCACTCCTTAGGTGATATTCATTTGTGCAGTACTATTGATCACCACTCTCCATGTTTGCTGCTATTCCTTACTTTTATGAATATTAAGCACATCAGCTGGCCCTTGTTATTCACCTTTATAGTCTGGCCTCACCATTCCCTCTGGGTCAGATCATTGTTTCCTTGTTCCTGTGTCCTCTGGTCTTGTACCCTGTGTCCTCTGACCCTACATCCTCTGGTCTTGCATTCCGTGACTTTGGTCCTGTATCCTGTGACTCTGGTCTTGTATCCTGTGGCCTTGTTTCCTGTGACTCTGACCCTGCATCCTCTGATCCTGTATCCTGTGTCTCTGGTGTTGTATTCTGTGACTTTGGTCCTTTATCCTGTGACTCTTTATCCTGGTTTTGCATCCTTTTGGCACTAGATGTATATCCTGCGGCTCTGGACCTGAGTCCTGTCTGTCTCTCATGGTGCCTGCCAGGTCTTGCCCATGGTGCCTGCCCGGTCAGTACTGTGCCTGATACTCTGCCTGCACCTCCCGTGCTAGACCTAGGTATACTGTATATTTTGTATTGGCATTGTATTATTACTGTAAATTGTTTGGTTACCTTGTGTCATTTTGTTTGTTTCATAATATACTTATTTGTACTCTCCTTCTTTTGTGTTTGTCATTTTTCTCTGCATATTGGGTTCCTGCACTTAAAGGGATATTGCTGTCTCAGGGCAGCACTTCTTCCTAACCTGACAACAAAAGTGGAGGATCAGTATTATGAAGAAGAAACATAAGTTGTTCAGTTTTTGAGTTTCAGAAAGTGGAAGGACATCCAATCAGAGATGGAAGAAAACTGTTATGCATAGGGAACAAATCCGTGCCCCATTAATATATACCCATGTAGTGAGAGAGGTATATAGGAATTGTATCCACTGTTGCATGTCTCAGTCCCATATGAACTGCAAAAAAGTAGTACCAACACACTTTATCAAAAGCCTTCTCCACATCAGTGGAGAGGAGGAAAGGGCTTCTCGAGGAGCGCTGTGTCTGATAGATCAATGGCAGGGCACATATGGTGTTGTCCCTGGCCTCCTTGTGTGGGATGAATTCCAACTGATCAGGGGAAACCAGCCCATGCAGAAGTGGCCCCAACTTGGCCGCCAAAATTCTTGCAAATAACAGAGATCACATTTTAGCAAGGAGATGGGGCGGTAGCTTGCTCAAAGTCCTTGCCCTCTTTTGGCAGTATGACTTTTGCCATTTGTCAGAGTACTATTGTTTCACAGATGTGGCTATCTGATCTGGAAGGTGACACATTTGGCATGTGGAATTTTGGATTTGTACTTAGTATGTTGTGGAGCATTTTTTTTTATTTTTATTATTAATCATTCTCGCCAGCAGTTTACCATGTTTTGTTGCATTCTGCATAAAAGTATGATTTGGTACACCGAGGTGCCCTGGTGTAAGAAACCTGTGTGGCGAAACTGGCCTCGCCACGTGTCCTTGGAGGGGGCTGCTTGCCCGCCTCTTGCCTTTGGACTATGGACCAGAC